TTTTAGAATAAAAAAGGCACAATACCGTGACTGGAACAATACACAAATAGCCCGCACATAGGAGACTGAAATGTACGACGACGTTTCGGTCTGGTTCGGATTATTCGGTCTAAGCCGGACCGAATAGTCCGGCTTGGACTGTTGCAGGTTGTTTGTCCTAGAGATGTTTTAGTCTCTCGTTTATTTAATTATGATCCCTGTGGTTTGCTGAGCTACCGTGTTGGAAGTGCTGTATGTTGCTCACACAGCAAGTACATCAACAACATTTCGTGTCAGTCTCTCATAACGTTACCTACCTACTTCTTCACTGACTGAAACTAATGTTAAGTAAGATGATTAAAGTCAATATTCTGAGTGGCGTTAAAAAGGTTAGACAGTTGAGTGAGAGGAAGACTCAGTGAGAGAAGGATGTGAATAACATGGGCCACTAGACATACTGTTCTTGAATTCACTGTTCTTCCTTCACTATGCCCAGCTCTTTGTTTGTCTTCCCCCCCCCCTTCATCATACATCTCATCCCCATGACAATACAGCCTTCCCACCCTTCCCTGTCCTCTTCCGCTGACCCTGTAGCAAAATGACACCACCAGGAGCCGAACCACACCCTGCCCACTTCCGGTTCACTGTTCCAGCCTCGCCCCTTCACTACAACCACTAACCTGTTTATGCTTACCTACCTGTGTTTACTGGGGTCGAGTCCCAGCTCCTGGGCCTCGCCCCTTCACTACAACCACTAACCTGTTTACACTTACCTACCTGTGTTTACTTAGGTCGAGTCTTAGTTCGACAATTATAGTTTTACTTCCCGTGTTTATTTCATACTAAGAATACTTAACAGTGAGACTTAAAGCTGATGGGACGTTAGCATTAGTTTCAAAGAGTTTTTCTCTATATGTACAGTAAAATAAATCGAGAAAAAAATCATAGAACTAGAGTTAATGTTTGTATTTCAATATAAAGATGGTGTCCGCATCTTGTGGGGACCCATAACCTCGGGTTAGTAGACATAAGAAAACTTCGGTGAAAATCAATTTGATTTCTCCCAGAAACTGTATGGATATTCCACTTCTCCTTCCACCCCCATCTTTTATAATTAATATACAGATAGGCATATTTTAGCATGTAATATGGTACACAAGTTTGTATTTGTACTGTAACACGAGTGGCTACAAGATATGACATTTCCTCCGATCTACTGCTTTTAATCGTATTACGGGCCTAGATAAGGGTAACTATGCAGTGACGTCACAGAATAACTTAAAGACTGGTTCCCATTGGCTACATTTTCTGCAATGATGATGTCACGGTTATGTCATCACGATTTACGTTTTCTATTGGTAGGTTACTGTGGTGTGGTTGCCAACACGTCAGTGGCTGGGTGTTGTTGATCTACTGTGATGGTAGTTTGTTCAGTAATATGTTGTGTGTGGTTCACATAACACTGAGAGTCTTAGTGCTACACACACTTGCAACAGTGTCCACCAGTTTTGTATTCAGTGCTAAATTCAAACTGTAATAATTTAAAACTAAAATTTTTTTGTTGTTCTTTTGCTCTGAAAATTTGTATCGGAAGAGGCACATTGATTTTGGTCACCGGCGATATTGTACATTTAAACTAAATATAGTAAAATCAAAATAATAATAAAATTATTCGGTATATGCAAATAACACTTGGCATGAATATATATATATATATATATAATATATATATATATATATATATATATATATATATATATATATATATATATATATATATATATATATATATATATATATATATATATATATATATATATATATATATATTATATATATATATATAATATATATATATTATATATATATATATATATATATATATATATATAATATATATATATATATATATATATATATATATATATATATATATATATATATATATATACATATATATATATATATATATATATATATATATATATATATATACATATATATATATATATTATAATATATATATATATATATATATATATATATATATTAACTGTGAATATTAAGTGGGTAGACCGGCAAGCCAGCGGAAGGCCTCGGTCAGATGACCAAAAGCTCCAGCTGTGGGTCAGGACATACTTGTCCTGTTTCCTGACAAACCTTACCTCACCCTGTGCGTGCAGCTAGTCAACCTCAGTGCAGTGTGTCAGGTGCACACTCAGGGACCAGCATACCACAGCTGGTCAGCCTCAGTGCAGTGTGTCAGGTGCACACTCAGGGACCAGCATACCACAGCTGGTCAGCCTCAGTGCAGTGTGTCAGGTGCCACGTAGTTTGTTAAGTTGGGCAAACCTCTGGAGTACATGAACCAGGTGGCGTTCAGTATAGTATCTCAGTGAATAAACAGTTTACCCTGATCCCTAGATTGGAGTAGTCTTGATATTACGAGCAGAGGCGGTGCCCAAGGAGAGCAAGGAAGACTAAACCCCCCTTATAACTTTAATCAGCTTCCACAAATAATAACTACAATAATAACGCAGCTTCAAGATCGCGCTCCTTCCAGCCAGACTGCCACCCCCAAGACTATCCTAGATGGAAATTCTGGTGCCGCCAGTGATTACGCGTTAAGTTATAAGTCGCGTGCAAGTTATAAGCTTTAAATTTAATTAACCGCGCCCGGCCAGGTAAGAGACTAGGCCGGGAGCTAAGACTCGACTCTCTGTCACAAGTAGGTAAGTACGTTTTAACAACCCCAGTAACAAAAACGAGCAATAACAGGAACGATATCAACACCAGTAACAGAAACGAGTAACAAGAACAGTAACAACAGCCCTAGTGAAAGAAGAGTAACAACAAGAACAGTAACAACAGCCCCAGTAACCGTACATAACTAACAAATTGCTGGTTACTGCATATCATTGTGAAGATGTTTCGCCCACCAGAGACGAAACGTCTTCGTAAATAAAACTGAAAGAGCCGTCGCTTAAAAATAAGTGTAACTACACAGCTGAGGTAACAAGAACAACACCAGGAACAGTAACAGTAACAGCAAGAATAGCAACAATAGCAAACGCCGATGTAAGAACAACAAAAACAGCAAATTAAACAAACACAGTTACAAGAGAACCATTAATAAATAACCCTAGTCAAAAAGCAGCAGAAACAAGAACAGTAAATGAAAAAAAACATAAACAAAAACATTAACAGGAGCTACTCCCGTAACAGGAACGCGAAGAACATGAGAACAACCCTAATAACAGGAAGAACAAAAACAGTGTTCCAGTTCCGAGTTAGCGACATAAAAACAAGGACAAATAGCGATATTATTATATTGTTTTATTTAGATGATGAAGGTGAGAATGAGAGGCAATGAGGTTCGATCCGAGGAGTGGGAGGAGGGAAAACAAGATTTCGATTTCCATGGATCAAGAACCCCTCACCGGTATCAGGGAACTGTGAGGGAACAAGTGACAGTATATCCAGGAGAGTCGCCAGGAAGCTCTCACAAGCTCATCTATATAGTGAATTTTTTTTTGTAAATGCGATTGAAAAATCGCATCAAAAATTGGGGACATATGACATAAGTGGTAACAAAGACCGTTTCAGGGAGACGTTTCGCCCGTGGACAGGATTCTTCAGCCAGTCTGAAGAAGTCTGTCCATGGGCGAAATGTCTCAATGAAGTTCCTTTCTGAAACTCTAATTTTCACTTACAGTCAAAATTTAATAGGACCTGGAAATTCCTTCACAGCGCTATGCAGTTTTGGATGCACCTTTTCAATCGCATTTATAGAATATATATATATATATATATATATATATATATATATATATATATATATATATATATATATATATATATATATATATTTCAATAAGTCGGCCGTCTCCCACCGAGGCAGGGTGACCCAAAAAGAAAGAAAATCCCCAAAGAGAGGTGCTCAGAACACAACAGTTCAGTTTAGAAGCATATACGTATAAAGATATACAACATGATCCACCAGGAGGCCTGGTCACAGACCGGGCCGCGGGGCGTTGACCCCCGAAACTCTCTCCAGGTAAACTCCAGGTAAACATGTCCCTCCAAACTGCCTATATATATATATATATATATATATATATATATATATATATAGAGAGAGAGAGAGAGAGAGAGAGAGAGAGAGAGAGAGAGAGAGAGAGAGAGAGAGAGAGAGAGAGAGAGAGAGGAGAGAGAGAGAGAGAGAGAGAGAGAGAGAATGTGAGAGAGAGAGAGAGAGAGAGAGAGAGAGAGAGAGAGAGGAGGTTTATAAGAGGGCCGACTAGTATAACTGAATCTGTTTAAATTCCCAACATAAAAACAGGAGCACCAATAAGTAAGACAAACAGTATCCCAGGGTGGGAATATAACAGTGTATGTAACGGACAGCATAAGACTGACACAAGTATGAGAGGAGCAGCATCACTCCAGCCACACACGAGTATCAGCAATTAAGTAGTGAAGGTCTGCATTGATGAGACGAAGATGAAGACTTGGGCAACAAACATATAAATGAGTTGTTTTGTTTATTGGTGTATTTAAAATGTGACTGTTAACGTTAGACTGCGTTTGAGCTGTACACTACCAGTGAACAACATCTGGATCACCTTACAAGGGATTTAGAGTAAACTTGCATCATATAGTAACATAATTGGTATACAGTACCGACAAAATGAAGAATTAGACACATATGCAACATCTGGGTATTTTTATTTGTAGACGATTCGCCAACCAGTGGCTTCATCAATACAATTCAGAAACATATATGAAGAATTATATACAAAAGGCGAGTTAATGAGTCCCTCAGCCTTGGAGCTGGTGAATAGCACCGACGACGTTCTTCACCAACTCCAAGACTGAGGGACCGATTGCCTCGCCTTTCGTATATAATTCTTCACATTATGTCCTTGTATTATAATAATGAAGCCACTGGCTGGCGAATTGTCTACAAATAAAGATACCCAGATGTTGCACACATGTCTAATTTTTTCATGATACATACACAGAGATCCACACTACGGGGTGTTTATAACGCTCGCCAACAACTGGGTATAAAGACACGTAATACAGAGCAGACTTGCCATGTGTTATGTATCTTTATACCCATGAGATACAGACATGTTCCAATGCATGTCCTCATAATGCATGTCCTCACAATGCATGTCCTCACAATGCATGTCCTCACAATGCATGTCCTCACAATGCATGTCCTCACAATGCATGTCCTCATAATGCATGTCCTCACAATGCATGTCCTCACAATGCATGTCCTCACAATGCATGTCCTCACAATGCATGTCCTCACAATGCATGTCCTCACAATGCATGTCCTCACAATGCATGTCCTCACAATGCATGTCCTCACAATGCATGTCCTCACAATGCATGTCCTCATAATGCAATACACGTTTTCTAACGCTTTTATGTTCATCTCTTTTTGAACGCTTTACACAGTTGAACATTCCCGATTGATCACTCGCTTACGTAATGTGTAACACTGGGCAGGCGGTGCAAAATACCCCCATTGGAAAGAGCACTATTGGTACACTAAGAGGAAACGCAGTAAGTGTCCGGGGCCCAAGGCTGTTCAACAGTTTCCCACCATGCAAAAGGGGAATTACCAATAGACCCCTGACTCCCTCCAAGAGGGAGCTATACAGATACCTAAAGTCAATGCCGGATCAGCCGGGCTGTGGTTCGTACATTGGACTACGTGCGGCCAGCAGTAACAGCCTAGTTGATCAGGCCCTGAGCCACCGAGAGGCCTGGTCATGGACCGGGCCGCGGGGGCATTGATCCCCGGAATACCTTCCAGGTAGGTGTTGGTGAGGGGGCTTTTGATGCGAGGAAGTAGAATTGTCCTCCCTTTCCTTGGATCAAACCTGATTGCATCCCATTCCCCAGGTGTTGTGTAACCCCTTTACATCATCAATCAAGACTAAGGAAAGGAGTGAGGGATCCTGATGGAAATAAGCCAGATAATGTGATGGGATGGAATGTATCGGGTTAGCCTGGGTTACTAACCTGTTGGGTTAATAACCAGAGTAAAATAATCTTCAAGGATATTTTAATCCCTAAAATAGAGATTAAAATTCATTTTTAGTATTTTAGTATGTACACAACATGAGATGCCCATCTCTCGGTGTACATACCCTTGATGGAGGGTATATGTTCATATTGTTAAAGGTGACGACGGACCTTGTGTAATGTACTGTGTCTTTCATTAAGATGTTGAAAACACAGCAGAGAAAGGTTGGCAAATTTTTAACTCTTCGGGTCTAATGGGAATATTTAAATACATGTAAAATCGCTATTTATTAAATATTTAAGGTACATTTTATTATTTGTTTATATAATACTGGGAAGTATCACCACTAGTGCTAACTGGATGTCCGTCATCTTCACAGAAGAGAAGAGAATATACGTACTTCAGGGAAGACTAGAGATTTCTCCCAAGATCTGTTTGAGTATTTTCATTCCTACCATTTCCTATATATATATTTATGCGGATATTTTTAAAACCATTATTTAAATGATACAATGGAGCATATGGTTACATATTGATGAGTCCGGTAGTTAACGTGCTTGTAGAGTTGTAAAGACTGTGGGAACTTAAGATATGTTGCTCGTCGAGCTCCTCAGTCACCCATCAGGAACCCAAGATGCAGCAGGCATTCCGTCTCTGGATCGCCCCACTGAGGCGCCGGAAGAGAAAGATGGCAGCCCTCTGGTCAAGTGGTTTTTGACTACCCTGAAACACAGCTCTTTGAGGAAGTCCATGGCAGGGTCTATCCAGGGGGCCAAGGGTCTGATCTGATAGGGACGAAGTTTTTATTGGTGAGCCAATTCCCTGTACTTGTTGAGCGGTACCACCCTGCTGACCAGCACTAAATGGGATGTATGTGTTGGTCAGGGTATATGCACAAGCATAGTCCTACACCAGCAGCCTAACGTTTTTAGAATTTTCTCCAATATTTATTTCGGAAACGAATGCCAGATTTTGAGATGTGTCATTAGATTTGCTTGGTACTCACGCTACGAATGTTATTTATTTTTGTAATGTGGCCTTTTTTCGTCAGGTGGTCAATATCCTCTATTTTAGTATTGTATTTGGATGCTTACTTTATCACTCAAGTGCTACGTTTTGTTGCATACTCAAACGCAGGGATAAAGAAATTCTTTGTATTCAGTTCACGTTGGAATTCCTACGTTCCAATATTTATTTTCAGCATGAGTGAGACTTCTGATTGTTAAATTTGTAAAAGTTTTAATGTAATTGGCACTTGTTTTTTATATATGCATGACAGTATTTTCAAACGATCAGTTGTAAGTTTGTGAGATTAGTAAACAAAGAAAAATAGCAGGGTACTTGGCAGCCAGACATTGGCATCTTTTTGAGATGAATAATAAATCAGAAGAAACATTAATAATGACGTTAAAGACTAATAACACCAGCAGTGAACAAGGCAGTACATGTAGAGGAGAAACTAACTCAAACATGGAGGATGAAAACAGCATGAACGAATCTCTCCCGGGAAGCATCAGCAGGCTCAGCAGAAAGAACAGTGAGATGGACCGGAGGAGCAGTGGAGACAGCAGCTGGAGCACAACGAGTAGTAACATCAACATAGACGACCTCTCCCTACTCTCGGAATCCTTTCCAGCCAGACTGTGGCATCGATGGATTGGTCTTGTACGTTCCACTCTTGCTTAGTGCTTTTTTATTGTGCCTATATATATATATATCTTTAAGTCTAGTACGACCACCAAGGGCTTAGCAGTTTTCATAATAACAATTTATGTATAGTGAAATATCATTATTATTTGTCTTTTCTAAAGACAAATAATATTTAACATTACCTTGCCATTTTCAGTTTGCTTTCATATCACATCCTTTAACTTTTAAACACCTTCACCAGTTTCTACAACTTTATTTCTGAATCTCCCAGAGTAAATTGCTTAGTGCTCATATCCTGAAGAAGAATCTTCAAAAAGTACCACGTCATCAGTAATGATCAACCGTGGCAGCTGCTGTTTTGTTTATTGGTGTATTTAACAATCACAACGTATGCAAGCATTAACCACCCTGACACCACAAGTCCCTATCTAACACTCACTTTTTTACTGGACAATATCCCTTTTTTCTCTTACATACTTTGTGGATTCCTATAGACCATTAAGCAGCGATTATCATATATGTGTTTGAATATGAGAGGAATGAGAAGGGTAGTTTAGTTTTATTATGCACCCCACATCTCCTATCGTGTGGGTGATAAGTCAACATATTACAGAAGCGCATAATGCTTCCAGGAACTGGATTCCAACGTTGTTGCTAGCTAAGTAAGCTGCGGTAGTAATGAACTATTTGAAAATTTATTGAATTAGGAACAATAATAAGGAGTTGTTAACACAGTTATGAATTTATTTATTTGTCACTCACTCTCTTTGCTTACATTGCAGCCCATGCCACTAGGAAAGATGTCAGACTATGGGTTCGAGGAGGATGACAGCGGGGGACTCGGGGGCCACCAGACGGACGCAGGCCAGAACTACATTACCGTCATCCCCGTGGAGTACCCCACCAGGAGGCCATACGCTGACTACGACGCCTTCCCCAGATCTGCTACGATATCCAGGTGAGTTAGTGGATGTTAGTGATGCTGTTGGCAGAGGAATGGTGCCATTGATAGCAGGGGAAGGCAGGGTGGTAATGTCAGTTATGACGGTAATGGTACAGTAGGTGTAGGTTGTGCGGGTTCTTGGGCTATATATGGCAAGTGGTGGTAGTAACAGTAGTCAAGGTTAGGATAGTAGATATTTGTGGTAATGTATGCTAGCACTACAACTAGATGATAGGGAGAAAATTCTGGTCGTAAAGGTAGGCATAAGACCAGATGGAAGTTATGTCAGCATAGTTGCTGATCCCTGTATTCCCTGTATTATATAGCATAGCATATTAGTATCATCCATGTGCTTTAGACACGAGATCCCTCGTAGGCCTGTAGCTTGGTGTGACGTCATGGCACACACATGGGCAGTGATCCCCCTGTCCCGTTCTCACTCGGCGGCAGACCTACAAAACGTGAACAGGCTTGGCACCGGGCTCCATCTCTCATCTCAGTCTGACAATATATTTACCATCCTACAAGTGTGTCTACTTTCAACCTACGATATCTCTATTTAAGAACCCTTTACGATAGTTATATTAGACAGCAAGAGAGTAGCGATAATAGAATAGGGTAGAGTAAGGTATGGATTTTATATTGATTATTGGTAACAGGAGAAGTAGTGGCGCTGGCAAGAGCAAGAGTCAGTGTTGGTGTGGCAGCAATAATCTTGGTGTAGTGATAGTAAGAGTAGTTGTAGCACAAGTGGTCATGACTGATACAGTAGCTCTTGATGCATAAGTTGCAAGTCGTAGTCAGTGTTGTGTACTAGATGTAGTAGTAAAAGTAGTAGTAGTCGTAGTAGTAAGTACATTTATGCTAGATAGATTGTAGTGTGTAATCATAGTTTAATGGCATTTAATAGTTGTAATATATAACATAATTAGCTCTAAATTTTCGTATTATAAATTTATGTTAAAGAAAAAACATAACAAATAAACATTATTGTCAGATTAATATGAAATATTTTTTTATGATTTGTATATTTTTGAGATTCACCAATAGTTTCAACTAAATAACGCTGCAAAGGACTCGGAGGTAAGAATGGGCGAATGTTGAATTATATTCGTAATTTAAACATCATCTGGGGGTCCAATAACATTCCTCTTCGGGAATAAATTATACATTTTTGAGAGAGAATTTATTGTAATTATTATTTCTCCTTGTTCTTGTCCGTGGAGCTGGGTGAATGTGCATCAATACTAACTTATACCATGATAAGTGTTGTCATCTGTAAATAAGCATTTTGTTATGTGTTAGAACGGTGAGACTACTACACGCTCTTGCGAACTTTGTACCCTAACCCAATTTTTATTTTGTCTTATAATTGTTTTATGTTAACGTGAAAAAATATGCACTAGATGTATGTGCTTGCGACACCCGTATTATGATATTCCGTTTTGTGTTCATGCACGAAGTTATCATCCTTCAGGGAAGTTGTTAGTTGTTGATGTTCTTATATACATCAATATGGGTCTCCATTTGTGTTAGTTTCATTTATTAAAACGAAGAAAATGTGACGTAGGTATTGCTTAGTCACGATATTGCAATAGATTAATTAATTGCCGAGTTATTCCTATAATTCCGTTCAATATGGGGTATTAGACCAACCAATAGACCATGAAAAATAATTTATTAACTGATCACAAGGCATTCAAGGACGCAATAAAAATTTCCTTCCCATGCAATTTTTTAAGCGTTATTTAAGGAATCTCTGCGTTAATTGGTTCCACCCTGAAAGTGTCGTGATCATTTAATAACAAAAGTAACACTTAAGATAGCTTTACTAAAGCATCTTTACCTTACACAGACGTCCTCGAGGGGAGACCGATGCCTTCCCACGATCTGCCACCATCTCTAGGTAGGTACTCTATATATGTGTGTGTGTCTCTTCCAAGAAGGTACCTTGATGCAGCTGAAAGGCTTTTGAGTATTTAAATTGTAGCTTGAATCAAACCTGATTACCTCCAGTATACTGTATACTTACCTAGTTGTGGTCGCAGGGGTCGATTCGCAGCTCCTGGCCCCGTGTATGTGTGTGTGTGTGTGTGATTTTATATCTGTAGCTACCACAACAGAGTACTGGTGATACCTCTTTTAGTGTTTAATCAATCATATATTTTTTAATATCCCAGTGATTGTAAAATGTACCACATCTCCTATAACTCATGCCATTTATCCACTGCTCTCCCTCTAAGGTAGGTTCATTAATACCAGACAAGGGTTCTTGAGCCAAGGAATTGAACCTAGTTTGATAGCTAGCCTACTCAGCTCACACACAGAGGTCTGGGGTTCAATTCCCCGGTACGTCAGGAAATATTAGGGAGTGTTTCCTCAAGACACCTACTGTCCATGTTAATCTGTTAATAAAATAGGTACCTGGGTGTTAGTCGACTGGTGTGGGTCGCATCCTGGGACAAAAATTGACCTAATTTGCCCGAAATACTCAGGATAACAAGGGTCTTTCTGTATACTAGTATGTCAGTGATGTCAGCTAGGACTGTATACCTTGTACATGAACTGGTAGAAATAAAGATATTATTATTATTATTATTATTATTATTATTATTATTATTTTATTATTTTAGTATTCAAGAGGTTGCTAGTAGAATTACAGTAAATCAACCATTCAAATCATTATGAAGCTGTGTGTAGTCTGCAATAAATCAAACAAACGGGCTTCCACATGGATAAATTGTCATTTTTGTGGAAATTGGTGTCACGCCCCTTGTGCAGATATCCAAGAACTAGCTACAAGCAGTATTAAAACAGGGAAGTGTTTTTGGGTATGCCCAAAGGAGATAAATCTGTGGACTAAAATCACAAGGGTATTAAAAGAGGATAACATCAAAGCTGCTTTCATAGACAACCTGGAAGCTTTCTACAACAGATGGGAACATAAAAAGTCTGGGCTGAATGGTACTGCCCTTGATACTGGCCATGTAGTCAGAAACTGTAAGGCTGGAGGTGATGTCCTGGTAGTCAGTAAATGTGGGGCTGATAGTGCTGTCCTGGGAGACAGTAATGGTGAAGCTGGAGGTGCTGTCCTGGGAGACAGTAATGGTGAAGCTGGAGGTGCTGTCCTGGGAGACAGTAATGGTGAAGCTGGAGGTGCTGTCCTGGGAGACAGTAATGGTGAAGCTGGAGATGCTGTCCTGGGAGACAGTAATGGTGAAGTTGGAGATGCTGTCCTGGGAGACAGTAATGGTGAAGCTGGAGGTGCTGTCCTGGGAGACAGTAATGGTGAAGCTGGAGATTTTGTCCAGGTAGTCGGGAATTATACACAGGAAGGAATGCATATAAATGACCTCATAGGGGACAGGAGCCGTAGTGGGGAAACAAGTGTAGTCAAAGATAAGATAAAACCAATATTGCAAACAAGAAATACAACAGGAAATAGCAAACAAGAGGACTCCACCAGCAATAGTGAGGATATATTACCAAAAACAACTGGTGGGAGCTCCATTGTTGGTGCTAGGGAAGATAGGAATAAGACAGGTAAACATGCACCAACAGGGAATACAGTCACAGAAACCCAAGGCAAACGGAAACCAAGCCTGTGCACATACTATGCACTTGGTATCTGCAGACATGGGAAATCTGGAAAAACAGATGGGACGTGCAACTATGACCACCCTAGAAAATGCCGTGCCCATATGACAACAGGAAAATGCAAACTCCCTTCCTGTAAGCTTTTTCACCCTGAAATGTGTACCTCTTCAGTACAGGAAAGACTGTGCTATAACTTAAATTGCCAGGCACACCATCTAAATGGGCCAAAAAGATACAAAACATCCAGGCCATGGGAAAACCTGGGTAGCCACAGCCACTCAAGAGGGAGAGGTTTTTTAGTGCCAGGAAGGAAAAAAAACTGGCAGGAAATGGCAGAAATTGTACACCAAATCCAGTCATTCCTGGAGTGGAACCACAGTCGATGGCCTCCACTCCAAACCAACAGATACAGATACTAATGCCGGAAAAAAAAATCCCCCCCAGTACCAACAATACCACCAGTCCGATGACATTCTTCTTTGGAAATATACAGGGTCTAAAACCAGCAACAAACAACAAAATACCTTTCATCCGTGGACTGCTTGCAGAGGCAAAGGCAATGTTTGCGGCTTTCACTGAGACCCACATAAAGGATCACTTAGACAACGAAATATGGATCCCAGGTTACAACCTATACAGATGTGACAGAGTGAACAGGCAAAAGGGAGGGGGGGTTGGCCTGTACATTGCAGAGTCACTTGTTTGCACAGAACTGCTTAATGCCTCAAATGATGTAGTGGAAGTTTTAGCAGTAAAGGTCGAGAACCAAAACCTAGTCATTGTGGCAGTCTACAAGCCTCCGGATGCAACATCCCAGCAATTCCAGGAACAGCTGTTAAAAACTGACCACTGTCTGGAAAATCTTCCAGCTCCTGCACCCAACATCTTGCTCCTGGGGATTTCAACTTAAGGCACCTAAAATGGAGGAATATAGCAAATAATATTGTTGCAGTAATAACACCAGGAGGCAGCTCTGATGAAAACTCACACTCACACGAGCTTTTAAATCTCTGCACAAAATTCAATTTAAACCAGCAAATAATAGAGCCTACTAGAATGGAGAATACACTAGACCTCATCTTCACTAACAATGATGATCTGATAAGAAATGTCACCATATCAAAAACAATATACTCAGATCACAACATAATTGAGGTTCAGACATGTATGCGTGGAGCCCCAGACCGACATAATGAGACTAGTCACGAGGGAGCATTCACCAAATTCAACTTCAATAACAAAAACATAAAGTGGGACCAAGTAAACCAAGTCCTAACCGATATAAGCTGGGAAGATATACTAAGCAACACAGACCCCAACTTATGCCTAGAACAGATTAACTTTGTGGCACTCGATATATGCACAAGACTTATTCCTCTAAGAAAAAGGAGGAGTAGATGTAAAATAGAAAGAGACAGGCGCTCTCTTTACAGGCGACGGAAAAGAATAACAGAGCGGCTAAAAGAGGTCAATCTATCTGAAATGCGTAGGGAGACACTGGTCAGAGAAATAGCAAACATCGAACTTAAGCTAAAGGAATCTTATAGGAGTCAGGAATCGCGGGAAGAACTAAAAGCCATAAATGAAATCGAAAGAAACCCAAAGTATTTCTTCTCCTATGCCAAATCAAAGTCGAGAACAACGTCCAGTATTGGGCCCTTACTTAAACAAGATGGGTCCTACACAGATAACAGCAAGGAAATGAGTGAGCTACTCAGCCAAATGACTTCGAACAGGCGATAAATGACATGCCCATGCATTCTGCCCCAGGGCCAGACTCATGGAACTCCGTGTTCATCAAGAACTGCAAAAAGCCCCTATCACGAGCCTTTACCATCCTATGGAGAGGGAGCATGGACACGGGGGTTGTCCCACAGTTACTAAAAACAACAGACATAGCCCCACTCCACAAAGGGGGCAGTAAAGCAACAGCAAAGAACTACAGACCGATAGCACTAACATCCCATATCATAAAAATCTTTGAAAGAGTCCTAAGAAGCAAGATCACCACCCATCTAGAAACCCATCAGTTACACAACCCAGGGCAACATGGGTTTAGAACAGGTCGCTCCTGTCTGTCTCAACTATTGAATCACTACGACAAGGTCCTAGATGCACTAGAAGACAAAAAGAATGCAGATGTAATATATACAGACTTTGCAAAAGCCTTCGACAAGTGTGACCATGGCGTAATAGCGCACAAAATGCGTGCTAAAGGAATAACGGGAAAAGTCGGTCGATGGATCTATAATTTCCTCACTAACAGAACACAGAGAGTAGTAGTCAACAGAGTAAAGTCCGAGGCAGGCACGGTGAAAAGCTCTGTTCCTCAAGGCACAGTACTCGCTCCCATCTTGTTCCTCATCCTCATATCTGACATAGACAAGGATGTCAGCCACAGCACCGTGTCTTCCTTTGCAGATGACACCCGAATCTGCATGACAGTGTCTTCCATTGCAGACACTGCAAGGCTCCAGGCGGACATCAACCAAATCTTTCAGTGGGCTGCAGAAAACAATATGAAGTTCAACGATGAGAAATTTCAATTACTCAGATATGGTAAACACGAGGAAATTAAATCTTCATCAGAGTACAAAACAAATTCTGGCCACAAAATAGAGCGAAACACCAACGTCAAAGACCTGGGAGTGATCATGTCGGAGGATCTCACTTTCAAGGACCATAACATTGTATCGATCGCATCTGCTAGAAAAATGACAGGATGGATAATGAGAACCTTCAAAACGAGGGATGCCAAGCCCATAATGACACTCTTCAGGTCACTTGTTCTATCTAGGCTGGAATATTGCTGCACACTAACAGCACCTTTCAAGGCAGGTGAAATTGCTGACCTAGAAAATGTACAGAGAACCTTCACGGCGCGCATAACGGAGATAAAACACCTCAATAATACTGGGAGCGCTTGAGGTTCCTGAACCTGTATTCACTGGAACGCAGGCGGGAGAGATACATGATTATATACACCTGGAAAATCCTAGAGGGACTAGTACCGAACTTGCACACGAAAATCACTCACTACGAAAGCAAAAGACTTGGCAGACGATGCAACATCCCCCCAATGAAAAGCAGGGGTGTCACTAGCACGTTAAGAGACCATACAATAAGTGTCAGGGGCCCGAGACTGTTCAACTGCCTCCCAGCATACATAAGGGGGATTACCAACAGACCCCTGGCAGTCTTCAAGCTGGCACTGGACAAGCACCTAAAGTCGGTTCCTGATCAGCCGGGCTGTGGCTCGTACGTTGGTTTGCGCGCAGCCAGCAGTAACAGCCTGGTTGATCAGGCTCTGATCCACCAGGAGGCCTGGTCACAGACCGGGCCGCGGGGGCGTTGACCCCCGGAACTCTCTCCAGGTAAACTCCAGGTAATTATCCTCTTAATGGGGTTGAACCTGATTGCTTCCCATTTCCCAGGCGCTGTATTACCTCTACAGATTTAGTGCTTTCCCGTAAATATAATACAATTAATCTACCATTCTGTGAAGGAAAACTTAGTATTCTTTCGCTATTTTTTGTCTTAGTTTACAAATGTAGCTTCTTGTTCTCCCTGTTGATGGTGCTAAGAGTTAGCTACTGGGTTAAGCCCTGGTACTGCCTTCCACTCATAACCTTCCTCTCACCAACCTGCTCTTCCACTATCCCCACTTCCCTGGTCACCTTCAAGGGTCTTACCTATACTCTCTTGATCTTGATGCTAAGAAATATTCTATACCAATTTGCTTATTATTCTTTTATAACCTGTTATAAGAATATGACAGAAACGTTATTCCTTGTGATGGAATATAATTTTGTCTTAACTTTGGACCTGGCAGCTTGTAAAGGAACGCTCTCTCATTTCCCACCCTATGTGCGAGTAGGATCAGATCGCTAAGTGTTGTGAGTATTGTCTATATAGCTCTAATGTCTTCCCAGGTTCTTAATAATAATATCTTTATTTTACTACAAGTACATGTACAGGGTATACAGTCCTAGCTGATAACAATGACGTACTACTATACAGAAAGTCCCTTGTTATGCTCCGCATTTCGAGCAAATTAGGTCAGTGTCCCACACCAGTCGACTAACACCCAGGTACCCATTTTACTGATTTTACTGATGGGGAACGTAGACAACAGGTGGAAAGAAACACGTCCAATGTTTCTACTCTGGCTGGGAATCGAACCCAGACCTTCGCCGTATGAAGAGAGAGCGTTAACCACCAGGCCACCAGAGCCCCTATCTTCTATCCTCTAATGTCGTCAGGTTCAGTTTCTTTCTTAGTCTCGTTGCGAACATCTGCAGTTTCTTCAGTTCATTTGATGCGCTTCATCAAATGCGGGTTTCATGCTGGTGCCGCATACTCAGTTTTTTTCAGGTCCATTCGTAGCTTTTCTTTGTCCTCATCAGTTTTTATTCTCTGTATCTCCTGGTATGTCATTGACGTCTGTGTTTGTGCGACTTTCTTAACTTTATCCGTCATCTACAGAGAGTTCCTACGAGAGAGAGCGGCAGCAGACTTCCTTCGTGGGGACTACAAAGGCAGCGCTGACCACCTGGACAAAGCGGCGGGTTTCTACCCCGGCATCCCACCTCCCGCCTTCGATGTTCCTCCACTCACCCTGGAGCCTGAGACCCGCAGGCCTTCCACCCACATGATGGTCACTCCCCCACACACCACCACAGCCCCTACTAACCTGCCCACCCATACTATGCCCGCCACCACCACCACCACAAACGTCACCCACCCCTCAGTGCCTCAACCCACCCTCCACACAGACGACTTCGACAAGACCAATAATAAGAACGACCATGAGAGAAAAACTAATAAAGGTGAGTAAAGGAGAGAGAGAGAGAGAGAGAATGGGGAAAACGATGATAAGTTGCGTTTGTTCTGAAAAAAGACCCATTGTGACTTCTGTTATCCTGTTTTTTGTTCTACAGCTGGGTCCCAGGATGAGCATGGGGCGCACAATAAACTAGCCGTTCAGGCGACACAACTAGGAACTAAACTCTTAGAATTCCGATGCCATTAAGATACATAACTTCCACTAGGAACCAGTGATAATAGTGCTATATTTAGAATAATCACGGAAGTGAAACTGGAAAGAAGAGGATAGAGGAATAATAAACCAGAATGTAGGCGAGACCATGGAAGGATGAGATTTCCTAAATGTGGAGCTCACTGGAATAGGGGTTCAGGACTTGAGGATGCTCAAACAATGCTAAGACCTGACATCTTCACACAATGTGTTGGTCTTTCCTGGCACTCACTCCAACTGTGATTCTTCGTTTTGCCCTCAGCCACACCTTCAATACTTGTACCTCTTTTCCTCTACCGTCTGCCTCGCCCTTGGTGTGCAGCGATGAATGATCCACAAGTGTTTTGGAGTGTGAGCAAGGTAACATTTATGAAGGAATTCGGGGAAACCGGTTAGCCGGACTTGAGTCCTGGAGGTGAGAAGTACAGTGCCTGCGCTCTGAAGGAGGGGCGGAGATGTGTTGCAGTTTTTGAACTGTATTGTAGGTTTGCCTCAGGCAACACAATGATGGACTGAATGATAATGAAAGTGTTTCTTCTTTTTCGGGTCACCCTGCCTCGGTGGGAAACGGCCAATGTATTAATAAAATAAAATAAAATATTAATAATAAAAATCTAGTAATTAATAATAATGCTAGAATGTGCTTGGCTTGACATGATGGCAGGTCGAGGTTGTGGCGGGGTGGAGGTGTGTGTGTTCCTACACTCACGCATGGCAGTCAGGTTAAGACTGGAAGACGGCGCCCGCATCACTGCCCAGGAGCTGCAGACCATGGTTATCGAGGAGGAGGATGTGGCTCTCCCGAAGCAAGCCATGGAAGTCTTCGCTATATGGATGGTCTCCCCTGTACTAGGTGAGAGATGAGGAGGGTAGAGTGCGAAGGAAGGGGGAGGAGAGAATGAAGAAACAAAGATTGAAAGTTGGAGATAATATTTAATTTATTTATATGCAAAATTCACATGCATTAGCCGGTTATAATGGAATATTTATTTTTGTCATGTCCACCTTAGTAGCGACACCCAACACTTTTGCATTATCCAGTTATTAATACCGCTCACCCTCTTAGAATTAGACAATTATATTTTTTATTTGTTTTTATTTTATGAATTAAATTATAAAGAGATTTCGTTCGGATTTTTAACCCCGGAGGGTTAGCCACCCAGGATAACCCAAGAAAGTCAGTGCGTCATCGAGGACTGTCTAACTTATTTCCATTGGGGTCCTCAATCTTGTCCCCCAGGATGCGACCCACACCAGTCGACTAACACCCAGGTACCTATTTGCTGCTAGGTGAACAGGACAACAGGTGTAAGGAAACGTGTCGAAATGTTTCCACCCGCCGGGAATCGAACCCGGGCCCTCCGTGTGTGAAGCGGGAGCTTTAGCCACCAGGCCACTTGTATTGTACTGTTAAGTTCCTAGTTATATCCTGTATTAGCCCCCCAAAAATAAAAATTAAACTGTAAATTTTAAGTACATCATAGTTTAAGTTTACTGGTAATCTTATGTGCCTTCAAATTATTGTATGTTTTATTCAGTAATTTTGAAATAAATTTGTATTTATATTTGTTTTTTTTTGTGCAACAATTGTATTTTCTGTGTTTACACTAAATTTATTTGCATTTTTACTAAGTCATTTCATAAATTAGACACATGTGCAACTCTTGGGTATCTTTATTGAGGAAACGTTTCGCCATACAGTGGTCAGTCCATCAATCTTGAATATTCTATTCAAGATTGATGGACTGACCATATCGACTCAAGGCTGAGAGACTGATTACCTCATTCTCCTCCTGTTCTTCAAGATTCTCCTTTGTATGGACTGATGAAGCCACTGTGTGGCGAAACGTTTCCTCAATAAAGATACCCAAGAGTTGCACATGTGTCTAATTTATCAACGTGTCGGTTCTCTGAACCATTGATCTATAAGTCATTTCAATTATTTCGTCCTTATCCCTCGCATTATCTATTTTAATTAAACTCAAACCTTGACGGATTATCGTCGCCAGTTCGTAAGTTAATCTTCCATGAATCCACATTGACCCTTATCGTTGATGACAGAGATCCAGTTGAAGCCCTACCAGCGAGCACTTGAGGTGAGGCGTCAGTGGGGAGAGCTGCTGAAGCGCTTCGCACAGATCCCCATCAGGCCGCAGGACGCCCGGTACGCCCACGAGCCCAAGATGGTGTTGAGGAGGAACGTCTTCTTCAGCAAGAGAGATGAGGTCAAGATCAGGTGAGGCTATCGATTTAGTGGCGAGAAAGAAGTTTTTTTGTGTGACGGAAACATCATGACAAATAGAAGTGCAGCCCATCCATGTTTACTTTTCTGCATTCTTTCTTTACTCGTCCAGGTACTCCTCCTGCTCCTATGTGCACATATTCCAACATAATAACCAGTTCATGTCTCTTACCAGGGACGCCAAGATCCTCGAGCTTCTGTATGAGGAGGCTCAGTGGAACATGAGATCGGCGCGCTATCCCTGTGAGCTCTCTGACTACGAAATGTTGGCGGGCATCCAGAGTAGACTGGAGCTGGGACCCTACGACCACACTACCCACACCCCATCCTTCTTCAGGTGAGAACACCCACTCATACTACTCACACACCCCTCCTTCAAAACACCCTCTCACACCTTCCTCCTGCCCTCTTCAAGTGAAAACACCCACTCACTGCTCTCTCACCCCACCTGAAGGAGGGGTGTGTGAGCACTGATCATACCCTCTCAGTTTTTCTTTGGAAAACAGTACCTGCAAAAGACTTAATTTCCCGACACTTGCATAGTAATTTCATTGAGTAGGTAGCTGGATAAGTGATAAAAATTACGTAGACAATTTAATTGATAGTCAATCTTATTTACATTGATTCTGGCCTGTGTAGGTCCGAAATTGTCATTTTTTTTTTATTGAAGAAATTGGTTAAACTAAAATACTGGTTTTGATTAGACAATTTGTGAATTTCTCATCCAATTGGCTTCAGATCTTCAATCCGATAATTTGATAATGCAGTTTTAGAGCGGCTTCAGACTTAGTTTATGATGAGATACTGATCTACAGTATGTGAGATAACTACAGAATGCCTCTGTCTTTCTTTCTTGGAAAGTTTGAATGTGTGTTGGACTTTCTTTGTCCTAATTTGTCAATATTTATTAAAAAAATGGGATATTAGTTTTCATGTGATAACCTGCGGATAATTCTCTCCTTATACTTCAAATCTTCGATGCTAATATTTAACTACATTAAAAGCTATGCCTTTTGCGGGCACTGAGGGTCAGGGGACCGAGGTTATGCAAGATTCATTATCTTTCTCGGATCGCACAGCGACCGAAATACATCTAGTTGATATATAAAATCTTAAGATTTTACAGTATCCACTACTGCATCAACTTGACAGTTAAATCTAGGGTGAGATTATAATCTATCATTATGGGAATGACCGTAATAACCAAAAGATATAACTATCAGATCTCAGTGGGTATCACATACCCTCTGAGGTCTGACAAAGACCCACTGTAACCCCGGAATCCTTTTTTTTTGATGCCGCTGAAAGGATGTGCTACCGCTGAGTAATAATCTGATCTAATAGATATCTATGAGTTTCTCTTTCACGTCTCCGACTTTCATCACATATAATTAAACCAGGCGATTTATTATCCTTTCCCTACAGACGTCGGCTACTAGATTACCTGCCGGAACACGCATGTAGACTCAAGTTCAGCGACCTGGTCAGCTTCAGTAGTAAGTCGACGCCGGAGATCCGTATTATCGAGCAGTTTCGTTCCATCCCCAGCAACGTGACTGCCCGGAAGCTGGTCAGAAAATACCTCGAGTTCTCCTGGTCCCTCCCTTATTATGGGTATGTCTTGAAGCAGGCAGAGCTAGCAAGTTCTGCTCCTTCCCATAAATTACAAGATGCTACTGTTAGACTAATGCTGGTCTAGAAGTATATTTGGCAGTTAGATTTGTTTGAATATTTCAGTCATGTAAAATATGGTATGAGCATAGGATTGATCAAATACTGGAACACTGTATCCTATTTAAAGAGCCCAGAGGAAGGATGAGAGAGTTTAGGGTTTGCATTGTGGTGACCTGTTCTGGAAGGACTGAGAAGTTAAAGGGAATATTATGAAGGAATACCGAGATCTTACGTATTGTGCGTTGGTCTTGGAAAGAAGAATAGAGGAATACACAACACGCATGATAATAATGTATCATAAAAATAGTAGGTTGGTAAACAGCAACCATCCAGGGAGGTACTACCGTCCTACCAAATGAATGTAAAATGAAAACCTGTAATTGTTTTACATAATGGTAGGATTACTGGTGTCTTTTCTTATAAGCACGCACCTCTTCAAGGGGGGGGGGGGGTCCTTGGCGCGGTGAAGAGGCTCTTGATCTGTGGAATTAAACCTTTTGATCTCCTTCCTCAGACCGAACCTAATTTCCCCCCAATCCTCCCTTCCCTGTCCCCTCTTTTTCCTTTCCTACTCTCCCCATCCCTCCCCAATCCCCTTCCTGTTTTCAGCCTTTGGGATTCTTCCCACAGGCACTCTAGTTCCTAGGTAGGGGGAAGGGTACCGTGGTCCATCCAATTCCGTTGGGAGCAGTGCTAGCCAAGCTCAAGTTCTTTCTCTCCTTACAATTATAGATGCTATTCCTGTACACAAATAACCCGCACATAGAAGAGAGGAGCTTACGACGACGTTTCGGTCAGACTTGGACCATTTACAAAGTGTGACTTTGTAAATGGTCCAGGTTGGACCGAAACGTCGTCGTAAGCTCCTCTCTTCTATGTGCGGGTTATTTGTGTATTGTTCCAGTCACGGCATTGTGTCTTTTTGTTATTTATGCTATTCATGTAACTACTAAAAAACATCATTCTCTCAATTTTTGTAGTGGTACTATCATTCTACCTCATCCATTGTCCAACAGAATTTCCAGACATGTGGTGATGACATTCTGGAATAACTTGAGCTCCAAGACCTCCCAATCCTCAAAGCAGACACTTATATCCTCCCTGCCCACAGGCGGAGACGATACCCTTGCAATGTAGCTCGCTTAACTTTTGACTCTTGTTAGCTTCCGTCCTCGGTTTACATTGCGGGACACCATTTACAAGTTCGAAAGGTGATCCCTACCACTGGCAGCTCGTCCATAGGAGCTGCAGAGCTGCGGTATCCCCAGATGCTCACTGCCAGACGTATGACTTCATCAACCTTACGTTAAAATAATTTGCAAATGACAAATATATTAGAGGAAAAAATCTGTTGTATGTTGTTCTCAGGTGCTATTCTCAGGTGCTAAAGTTAATAAGTTCACTATTTTGCCATTATACTCCAAAGCTCATTTATTTGATTACCACTTTATTGTTCACCACAACTTATATTAGTCCCTTTTATATTATAATTTTATATTATAATTCTAACTTTAAAGAATTACCTTTAAAGTACTACCTACTATCATATTCCCAAGCTCCATTATTTGATCATCACTTTATTTGATCACCACAAATTATTTTAGTCCCTTTTATATTGTCTCCTTTATTTTAGCTTTAAAAAACTACCTTAGCTCATTATTTTTTTACATTTGTTAAATAATTCAGGTGCTATTATTTTTAGCTTTAGAATATTTACTTTATTTTTACTTAATTCTAACTATAGATCCACTACAAATCTTATGATTACAAGCATTGATCCTGATACCAACCTCTTATTTAATGACTTAAATGATTCAAACAGTTACTGTAATTACTACACAGCAGAACAATCAAAGGCACTTCTCAGAGCCAACAACAACATAACTATCTTTAACTACAATATCAGATCTTTAAGCAAGCATTATGATGACCTCCTAGCATTACTAAATTCCTTGCATGCCAATATGTCCATTATTACACTAACTGAAACCTGGCTAAAGCCTGATACTACAGATGTCTATGCCATTCCTGGTTACACAGCCATACACAACTGTAGGCCAGACCAACAAGGGGGTGGCACAGCTATGTACTACTCAGACCCAACTAGAATGTATCACTAATACTTGCACAAGGGATGAACATGGGGAATATATAATAAGCTAAATTCAAATCCAAATACCTACAAAAACCTCTCACAGTGATAAACATCTACAGAATTCCACAATCAAACATTAGCCAATTTAGTCAAAACCTAGGAAGTATGATAACTGATGCACGCATGAACAAAGATCACTTACTACTCTCAGGTGACTTCAATATAAATCTCCTGCAAGACCAGGACCCACACGTTACTGAATTCACAAACACAATGAGTAACTGCATGTTGCTACCAACAGTAACAAAACCTACAAGAGTTACAGAGACTAGTGTTTCCCTACTTGACCACATCTGGACCAACACCATATCCCCTTTAAAATCAGGCATAATTACAGATAATACCACAGACCACTACCCTACTTTCCTCATAACAACTCTTGGTAAAATACCCCAAGACACTACTAAAGTCACCTTCAGACTTCACAATGAGGCAGCCATTAATAACTTCACAACAGCAGTAACAAACATTGACTGGCACACTGAGCTAGAAATCTATACAGATATTGACGAATGTTTTAATAATTTTCTAAAAAAGACCCAATACCTTTATAACAAGCACTGCCCTAAAAAACTAAACAGATGACAGCTAAGAGACTGAACAGTCCCTGGCTAACACCCAGCATTCTCAAATCCATAAATACAAACACCGATATGAAAACAGTACAGAATGGGTCACATAACCAGAGACCAAACAAAACGTTACTCGTCAATCCTAACCAGCCTGATAAGAAGGGCAAAAAAATTGTATTATGAGAACAGATTATCCAACTTACGAGGTGATATAAAAAAAGACCTGGAAGACCCTATCAGAAATTCTGGGAACAAAAAAGATATCACGACATAGCGAAATAAAATTAGCAAAATCAGATGAACCCCAACTCCCACCAACAGAAACAGCAAACAGACTCAATGATTTCTTCTCCACTATAGGTCAAAACCTTGCCAATAATATCCCAAGCTCAGATACCCACCAAATGACTACCTCACTGGCAACTACCCGAACACACTGTTCCTAGCTCCGACTAACCCATACGAAGTCTCCCTTATTATCAACGCACTGAAAAACAAGGCAGGACATTTAAATACCTTACCACCCTTTATATACAAAAAAGCGTCACAAGTACTATCACCAATCATTGCAACACTCTTTAACAAATCCATTGAATCCTCCACCTTCCCTACAGTTCTCAAAATAGCAAGGGTCACCCCGATCCATAAAGGAGGAGACCAAACAGAGTTGAATAACTATAGGCCAATATCCAATTTACACCCTCTCTCAAAAATCTCGAAAAATTAATTCATAAACGAATCCACTCCTACCTCATCTCCCATAACTTCTCAACCCCTGCCAATTTGGATTCAGGCCTAATAAAAATACTAATGATGCTATTATACACATGCTAGAACATATATACACTGCAATAGAGAAAAAAGAAGTCCCACTGGGGATCTTCATTGACTTACGTAAAGCTTTTGATACAGTTGACCATGACTTGCTCCACGTAAAATTGTCACACTATGGTATTAGAGGGCACTCCCTCAACTACCTCAAGTCTTACCTCAGCAACAGAGCCAATATGTGTACGCACATGGGGCAAGCTCTTCCGCACAACCAATTACAGTTGGTGTCCCACAGGGAAGTGTCCTTGGCCCTCTTCTTTTCTCCTATACATAAATGACCTACCAAATGCTTCGCATTACTCAAACCCACACTATTTGCAGATGACACCACATACGTCTTCTCTCACCCGAGCCCAGTCACGCTAGCCAATACTGTAAACACCGAATTACAGAAAATATCTACCTGGATGAGGACTAACAAACTTACACTAAACATTGACAAAACCTACTTCATTCAGTTTGGTAGCAGAGCTACAGATGTACCTCTTAACATAACGATAAACGGATCACCTATCACAAAGCTAACAGAGGGAAAATTCTTAGAATCCACCTCGATAATAGAATCAAATTTCATACACATATACAACAAATTTCTAAGAAAATTTCCAAGACTGTAGGCATACTATCGAAGATACGATACTATGTTCCACAGTCAGGCCTCCTGGCCCTTTATCACTCTCTTATTTACCCCTATCTCACCTATGGAATTTGTGCATGGGCTCAACAACAACTAACCATCTCAGACCACTAATTACCCAACAAAAGGCTGCAGTTAGAATGATAACAAATTCTCACTACAGGCAGCACACTCCACCAATATTCAAAACACTCAACCTACTCACCATACAAAACATCCATACTTATTATTGCACCTATTACATACATAGAACACTAACTCTGATATTAACCTCTCCCTCAAACATCTCCTTGCCAACCTCAACAGAACACATGACCATAATACAAGGCACAGATCACTCTTTGATGTTCCTCGTGTCCATCTCACGCTATGCAAAAACTCAATGCACATAAAAGGCCCTAAAATCTGGAATTCATTACCTGTAAATATAAAAGAAACACTACCTGTTTATAAATTCAAGTCTCTTCTCAAAGTTCACTTACTCACTCAAAACCAAATAAATACTGAATAACTGAACCATATAAATTGTATATCCTAAATGTTACTCACAATTACATCACACAAATGTTAAACCTAACTTTGTAATATTTTTAAATACACTACCTAACAGAATACTCCATTCTACTGAATGAACAGCAATGCATGCAACCATAGGACCTGTCTTTGTAATACTCATTTGTATTTTATAGTTATCTGTTTACAATAATGTCTTATCACTGATTTCATCATTGCTTAGTTAATCTTAAGTTAATTTTAAGCCAGCCCGTAATGCTATGCATATAAGTGGCTTTGGCATGCTGCTCTTACCAGTATTTTTTGTACCTCTGTTTGTATGCTAAAATTTCTAAATAAATAAATAAATAAATGTATTTATAAGCGAATTTTGTTGTTGTTGCTGAAACGAGATAAAAATTATTAAAAACAGAATGAAGTTTGATGCAGTACGATAATATAGGTATTACTGGCGCTACGAGCCTCCACTAATCCCTACACCACAACAGTGTAGAAATTACTTGCGTTTTGGTCGTCCAGCAAAATATTGCAGGTCCATGGCCGAATGCCCAGTCTGTCATGCCGACGACCATACCAATACGTCTTGTAGTCTATCTCCCTCTTCCCTTAATTGTCATGAGGCTCACCCATCTTACTCTCGCCATTGCCAAGTTTACTTAAATGAGCGAGAAATCAGTTGTCTCAAGGAGGCAGAATCTTTCGTTATGCTATGGCAGTCTCTTATCTATGCCTCCAGGGGAGACTTCCTCGTATTTCTTATTCTCGAGTTACTAAACAGCTCCCCACCTCTGGGGTCCCAACTTCCACAGCCTCCTCTGTGGTCACCCCTTCCACAGTCACCTCTGTCTCTAATTTTTTTTCTGTCCTGGACTCAGAGGTCCCTACCTCGACACCTCATTCTGTTCTCACCTCTACCTCTTCTCACTCACAAGTTTCTGTGTCTACAAGACCTCATGCAACAACTCCTCCTCCCCATTGCCCCTCTACTTCTCCAAAGTCCAAAAAATCCCAATTGTTAAAATCTCCTTTGACCCCTACTTCCCTTCTTCTACATTTTTCCTTTCCAGTATCTGTACCTGGTTCTTCACCTCTAACCGACTCTGTTACAAGTGTGGAGGTTCATCCTCCTCCTCGTATAGTACCTTCCTCCTCTGTCCCCTCCCAAATTTCTTCCTCTTCTGCCCCCTCTCAGGTAGCTTCCTCTCCTGTTCCCTCCCAAGCTTCTTCCCTAGTTCCCTCTACCCTTTCGTCCCCCGCCCCCTACATTTTTACATTCCATCGTCGCCCCGATCCTTACTCACCCTCCTCCGTCCATCTCCAATATCATCCCATGTACAACGTCCTTGTCCTCTGAAACACTTGAAGCTATCTCCGTATATATTGAGGAGACTAGACCATTGATGGACACCAATCCACCTCCTGTTCCTCCTCTTCACTCTTCTCCGTCTGCACAACTCCCTTCTTCACGGTGTCCCAATCCTCTGCTGCTTGTGCATTTTCCGCTGCCTCCACATGTGGACTTTTCTAACCCTTCTAGTCCATAGATACCTCTACCTTCAGATTTCTTGTATCTTTCTCTTCGCAAATCATGGCTTATTTACAGAGGAATATCCGTGGCCTCAGAGGTAAGCAGGGTGAGCTTCAGGTGTTGCTCTCCCAGTTTTTCATGCCATTGCAATGTTCACCAATGGTTCCAAGTCTTCTGACGTGTCGGATTCGCAGCGGCGTTTCTGGACAGCGTTGTGCGAGGGCATTTATTATCCTTGGCTAGCATCTTTACAGCTGAATTTTATGCCATTCTCGTAGCACTTATGCATCACCATTCTTGTAGCACTTATGTGTCACCATTTGTGGTCGTTTCAGACTCCCTTAGTGCTTTACAGGCTATAAGAAAATTTGGTATACCTCATCCCCTGGTTCTTCGTATCCAACTTTGGTTATGCTGTATCTCTAGCAAGCACAATAGATATTGCTTTTTATTGGGTCCCCGGTCATATTGACGTACTGGGCAATGAACTGGCAGACACTCTGTGCGGTCAGCAGTACATGACCTCCCAGTTTCATATAGAGGTGTTCCATTCACAAACTATTTTGCTGCAATTGCTACCCACCTTCGCACCTGTTGGCAACAACATTGGTCTGATCTGCTACATAACAAATTGCATTCTGATTGAAGTGTGCAAGTGGAAGATGGGTATTAATAAAGGGAATATTAATAAGGTCTTGAGGATATCTGTCCAAGAGAGACCCCGCAATAATGGATTCAAATTAGACAAGTTTAGATTTAGAAAGGATATAGGAAAGTATTGGTTTGGAAATAGGGTAGTTGATGAGTGGAACAGTCTGCCTAGTAGGGTTATTGAGGCTAAGACCTTGGGTAGTTTCAAATTTAGGTTGGATAAATACATAAGTGAGAGGGGTTGGATTTGAGTGGGATTTGCACATGAGTTAATAGAATTATCAAAGCTTGTTCCTTGGGTAGAATTGAAAACTGAGTTGGGCAAATATTCTGTTAGTGGGAGGGATTGTGAAAGACCTGCCTAGTATGGGCTAACAGGCCTGCTGCAGTGCTCCTCCTTTCTTATATTCTTATGTTCTTATGTCTGGCCGTCTTCTTGTCATCAGTGTCGAAGTTGGGAGACTACTCTCTCCCATCTTCGCATCAGCCACACTCCTCTTACTCATGGGTATCTCATGGAGAGGTGCCCTGTTACACTCTGTGAGAATTGTCAGGTTCCAGTTTCTGTTAGCCACATTCTGTTGGACTGCCCACTCTATCGACAAGCACGCAGAATTTACCTCCAACATCGTCACTGCTCTACTGCCCTTACTCTACCTTCCCTACTTGCTGATGGACCCTCCTTTAACTTAACACAGACTCTCTCGTTGACTTTTTGACAGCAACTGATTTACTGCACAAACTCTGATGATGATGCCTCTAGCACTCCTCACAGTCCTTTCTACCTCAATCTCTTGCTACCCTCTACCCCTGCCCTATCCACTGCTCCGCTGTACTCCATGACCTAATAATAATCCCTCTCCCTCTTGCTATCCAGTACCCCTGTATCCTTCCCTGCCCTGCTGCGCTGTATGACCCTTATAGGTTCAGCACTTCTTTTTTTGATTATAATAATAATAATATAAGCACGCAAGATGGCAGATATATTCTGCTACTTCTACTTACACTTAGTTCGTAATGAACACGTATGTACATGTTTTATGACTTGACGTGTTGTTGGAGTGTGATTAGGGTAACATTTATGAAGGGAAACTGGTTAGCCGAACTTGAGTCCTGGAGGTGGAGTGTACAGTGCCTGCATTCTGATGGAGGGACATCTGAGCTGTAATGTTGCCACGCCTCTGGCAAGATAGTGTTAGAGTGAATGATAATGGAAGTGTTTCTTCATTTTTTGGGTCAACCTACCTAGGTGGGAGACGGCCATTGTTAAAACAAATCAAGACACCTTGGCTACAACAATTCACTACTAGCCCATAAATTGGAAATTAAAACTAGATGGCATTTCAGTTCGTCCTCTGCTATCATCGTCACTAGCGACATGCTAATGGTCCAGGACGGATCCGAACGTGGGCCAGTTATAATTTTCAATTTTGCGAGGTGAAAATATTAAATCTATATTTGTGCTGGTTCTACTTGTGGGCAGGAGTGCGTTCTTCCATGGTCAGATAGAGCAGCCGACGCGGGGGGTGAGTTCGTGGCTACCCCGGCCAGACATTCCAGTACTTGTCACCATCAATGCCACCGGCGTCACCGTTATAGATCCCAACAAGTCGGTGGGTCCAAGTGTTCCGTCTGATTATACACGTGTTTTAAGTTCAAGTTTCCCATAAAGTGAAAATAATTCATATTATACCTTTAGCATTTGCCTATCTATTCATTTCATGTTTCTGTAATTTTCATTTTAATATAGACTTGTGCTTTCACGTGATATAATGTGGGCCAGACTGTGTTGGTGAGCCTGAGGTACGACGAGCTCTCGTGGGACTTCGCCAGACCCAGCAACGAGCGCAGTGCCACTTGCCTTCCCTGCCTCTTCCTACAGTTCGCCGTCGTTGAGAATGGCAGAAGATACTCCAAACTCCTACAGATCTTCTCAAAACAGGTGGGAAATATATTAAAGAATTTTTTTTTTCAAAAACTACATCTTCCTCAAATTAACACAGCAGAAAGTGAAAGGAGAGATTATGGGAGTTTTCTCGGGATTTTGAACCAGGTGGGAGAAACTTGTGTAAGATGTAGCAAGAAAGATCATGCCTAGAAATTTTAGCAGTAGTAATACATGTTTAAAAAGACGGAAGTCTACAAGGTATGATAAAATGCGTAACGAGAGCAATGTACTGGATTATATTAGTGGATAACAAGTTGAGGAGTAGATTGTTGGTGGTATGGTGTTTAGAGCAGCTACTAAAATATCCTAATAATTATTTAGTGGTAGCCTGAATAAGAAGGCGGAACATAGGGAAGCTGGTGTCAGCAAGTAAAGTGAAAAGTTAGTATATTAAATAAGAGATGGTTAGTGAAGAACCATGAACAATCGTTGAAAGAAAGACTGGCTTGAGTAAGAGAGTGGTGAGTGTGTTGTAAGAGTCTTTAATGTTTTTACAAGACAACACACTACTCCTGTCTGTCATAACCATCATTGCAACACTATATCACTGACCCTGTAACTTGATCTTAAAGTAAGAGGCTATATAAAGCCTTGTTGACATGAAGATATTACTTCTAAGTAGGTAGTTTGGCACTTAATCAATATTGGCTTTTTGAGATTGAATTTAACATTACTAATAACTCTATTTTTTGTATGTGCGCTAATTGATTGTTTCTTATATATTTAAGCATGTACTAATGCTAGGTCATAAAAGAACAGTGAAATACTGATAAATTATTACTATATATTCGCGGGAAAGTGCTAAACCTGTAGAGGTTGGATATAGGAGGCAATCTGATTTGATCATAGGAAGAGGATGGTAGCTCCATTTCCTTGAACCAAGAGTCCTTTATCTACATCAAGGCAACTGTATTGAACGGAAAAATATGGTAAAGACGATGAGGTGGGCAACTGGGCACTAACTGTCGATGTAATAGAACCAGTAGGCGTCTCATTTATAAATCATAAACAATGGAAACTGCACTGAGTCACAACAAATGAACTTCTTAGACAAATGTTAGTATGTGCAGTAGAGGTTTGTAGTGGCAGGTGTACAAGGGTGGAATGAATAACTGAAAGGGGTGGTAAGGGAGAGAGTTTGCGTGTGGGTGTAAAAATACCATAGAATGCAGAATACATGAATATGACAAGAGAGGTTAGGAGAGTAATGAAGAATGCGAAAGTAAATATAAATATTGAGTGATGCATTATCAAAAAATTACTGAAAATAACATAGGCGACCAGTCGATTATCATTTTATTTACAGTGTAAAAGAAATGAAAAAATCTAGGGAGTATGTGCTTCAATTATTATCATTGATTTTATTTGCTAAATTTATTTCAAAATTCATTAGGCTAACGTTGCCCAAGGAAAACGCAAAGAGTTAACCCCTTATAAAGAAATCCTTCCAACATGTACGACTGTTGGGAGGAAACAAATAGTCTTGTATGTGCAGTTTCTTATCAGTTTTTTTCCTGCAACTGAAACCAACAATTATATAGTAGTCTTAGAAAATTAACTGAGACTGTTTTTCATTTGATATATGGTTATGTCAACTGTGTTAGTGTTGAAGATTGAGACACTTATACAGCATATGGGAATCTTTATTCAGGAAACGTTTCGCCACACAGTGGCTTCATCAGTCCAATACAAAGAGGTATTGGACTGATGAAGCCACTGTGTGGCGAAACGTTTCCTGAATAAAGATTCCCATATGCTGTATAAGTGTCTCAATCTTCAACTTGTCGGTTTTTCAAACCATTCATCACAACTGTGTTAGTGTTCTTTATTTGTAATAATTCTAATAACGTAGCCTATCTTAGGACTCGTTCATTGTTGCATCCGATAATTGAAACAAAAGGTTTTTAGCTTGTCAAACAAACAAAAAAAAAAAAGAGAAAAACCACAGCTTCTCTCTAACATATGAATGTGTCTAAACAAAATCATGTTGTAAGAAGGATACTCTGTTTCGAAAGAATCCATATAGTATAAATTAAATTAAATATAAATTAAATTAACCAGGAAACAGAAGACTGCTTATGTTACAACCTCTGCTGCTGTTATTACCATGTCTATCAACACTGTTTTAACTACTGCCACCATCATTATTAATTTTTAATGGTGTGGTTGTCTGCAGGCTATTATGATGGATGCACTCATAAGTACCTTTGTAGAGGAGCTTAAGAGGAGGGCGGCCCAGTACCCAGACGACCTGGAGGGACATATGCTGGACCACGGCACTGAAATTGATGGTTAGTGTTAAAGTTTTTTGCGATTCTTGCTCTTTAGGTACTTGTATTTGCTTTCGGTCTTTTCTTGTTCTGCCTCCATTATCTACTTTATTTTTTATTTTCTTCCTTCTGTTATTTCTTTTCTCCTCTCTGTTGTTCGGTTATGGTCTTCTATTAGTATATTATCTTGTTTCTCTAAAGTATCCACACTATTGTTTTCTAAATTTTGTTGTGATTTGACAGTGGTCCAGGACGGACCGAAACATCGTCGTAAGTTCATCTCCCAAGTACCGGCTATTTGTGAATTGTTCCAGTCGGGTACTGTCATCTTTTATTCCCACAGACGTGCTGGTGCCGCTGTCGACGGTGTCGCGGAAGGAGGTGCCTGAGTCAGTTCTCTGTAACAAGCTCCATAGACTCTCCCTCGCCACCTTCACCGAGGATGGTAAGTCTACCACCTGTTCTACCATCACGCCTTGTACAACTATTCACATCAGCACCTATCCACCATATCTTTACGTCCATTCATTGCACTGTTTACATTCACTATATCTTTGCATACCAGTTGATCATTACGCACAAATTTCGCCAGTCATACAACCACTCGTCCTATCTGACGGACGTCTGCTTTACTAGTTGTACCAGTTGTACTTCTTGTTATGGATTTGTGTTGATGATACACCAGTTGTGGATGCCTTGATGCTGGTGAAGGGCTCTTGACCCAAGGGTGTGGAATTACCCTCCTCCATCGAATCAAACCTCATTACTTCCAATTCCTTGGGAGCTGTATACAAAACCTTATACATTCAGCTCTTACCCCTGAATATAGTAGGTCACCCCTCAGTAACGTGGTCACCCTACACTCACTAACAAGCTGCGTGTGTTGCACAGGTCGCTGCGTGGGCACCATGGGGTCGTGGCAGTTTAGCAGATGAGGGGATGCCATCGACTACGTGTGACCAGACACCCGTACCATCACGCCCACGTTGCACACCTCAGACTCAGTCACTTGGAGTACGCCCGCACCGGAGTCCATGCCTTTACTCCATGCCTGACCACCAGAGCCACGCCCACGCTGGAGTCCATGCCTCCAATTCTGACCAATAAAGCCACGCTCACGCTGGAGTTATGCCTCCAATCTTGACCAACAGAGCCACGCCCACGCCGGAGTTCATGCCTCCAATCCTGACCAACAGAGCCACGCAGGAGTCCATGACTTCAATCCTGACCAACAGAGCCACGCCCACGCAGGAGTCCATGACTCCAATCCTGACCAACAGAGCCACTCCCACGCAGGAGTCCATGACTCCAATCCAATCCTAACCAACAGAGCCTCGCTCCCGCTGAAATCCATACCTCTACTGTACTAACCAACAGAGCCACCCCCACAGTGGAGTGATGCCTCTACTGTACTACTAACCAATAGAGCCAACTCCCCCCCACACTACCTCTACCACTGACCACCAGAGCCGCTACCACACTGGAGTCATGCCTCTACATTACTACTGACCACCAGTGAGTAACCTTCACACAAACTGGCTTAGTCACCATTGTTTACATTGTGCTCTTAGTGAGAGCGTATTTCCAATATTTATCCCTTTCATAAGATAATATTGAAAGAAACTCCATTGCGTTCTAGTGACGATGGAAAGTTGATATTTTTCCGATTACAAATCGTGATGTTTCTGTTTTTAACAATGGGTGGCGAATTTACTAGCCAAATTATAATTGAGAGAATCCCTAAAACCTTAATCTGTTGGTAACCTCAGTCACACTGTAGTTCCCGAGGCAGGTGGTTGTATCATATTTTTAGCTACGATGCTGGGGAATACTAGTGTTTGGGAGGATCGACTGACAACATTAGAAGTGAGAAACAGCATGTAAGAAACCCTCGTTTGAGTTTTCATGCAGTGCAACACTGGATATTTACAACACAGTTAAGTACAAAGTTTTTTTTTAACAGGAAGAGGTCTAGAGGAGGTAACAGGTGCCAAATGTCACCATTGTGCTATTTATTTTTTCCTCATCCATCAGGTAGCAATGTAAAATATTGGGCTCATATTTATAGAAGATAAATGTGGAGGACGTGGAAGTGGTACATTTCTTAATCGTTTGTATTGCTGTTGAGGAAAATATCCTTATGTAGAAAGGGGAAAATAATTAAAATTCTCACCCAGTGGAAAAA